CTTTCTTTAAAAATTTTTTTTTTAATTTTAGAGAGAGAGCATGCATGGGGGGGGGGAGTTGGGGAGGGAGAGAGAATCCTCAAGCAGACTCCCCGCTGTGTGCCGAGGCTGACGCAGGGCCCTGAGATCATGACCTGAGCCAAAATCAAGATTCAGACGCTTAACCGACTGAGCCACCCAGGCGCCACCCCCCGCCCAAAAAAAACTCCTTCTGAGCCTCTCATTGCCCTTAGGGGAGAGACTAGATACTTGGGTCAGCATTCAAGGCCCCACAAATCTGGCCCCTCCAGGCTTGTCTCTTGCTCCTGCACCCCCTCTCACCTGCATTCCATCTAACAGGCCTCTGTGGCTCTTCAGAGCTCTCCCCTCCACCCTTCCATGACCTCTCTCACGGGGAAGTGAGCTCCTAGGTATCTACAAGGCCCCACTCCAGAGCTCCACCTCAAGGAACCAGCTGCACGAAGGAAACCCTCGAAGGAAGGTCTGTGGTGGCAAGGATGGGGTGGCGGTTACTGGACCTTTTACATTTCTGTGTTTGGTTGTTTGTTTTTTTTTTTCCAAGTTTTCAACTTGTTAAATGAACAAGGTGATTCTGTGGCGAACAGTAGTAGTAGTAGAGAGTAGTGGAGAGCCTTAGGCTCTCATTAAACTGGGACACACCTGAATTGATGATGCTATAATTAAAAGATCACGAAGATGCTCCTGTCAGGTGAGTTCTCTAGATCTTTATCATCTTTGGCGTGTCTTCCCCACTCCTCCTCACTTGATCTGGACAATCCTGAGCTAGAAGGTGGGTGTGTGTGTGTGTTAGCCGGCTTGGATGGATGTGACATGGAGACCCAGAGGTGGTAGGTCACGGAGCAATTGGGGCTCCCCTGCACACCCCAGCTGGCCTGGGGAACAGAGACCAGGGGCAGAGGCCTTCCCGTGTGCCCACCCAGCCTGGAAGGCTCATCCCCACACGATGCCTGCCTTCTCCTACCTCCCCTGTGCTCTCACTTATTTGTTTTGTCTTCTTCTTTCAGTAGACTCACTTTTATAACTTAAATATGTTTATTTTAAAGGAAAGTTTAAGTAACGTGGACGGAAAATCAGTCACACTTGCCAAAAATAAAAGGGGACACAGCATGGGCACAATCAGCCCCTCGTGGGGTCTTGTTCCAGCCAGGTGTGGCCCACTGAAGGCCCTCTTGCTTCTAAAGGGAGTCAGCTGGGGCTGGGACAGGCGTTAAGGACACGTGAGCACCAAGTTGAGCCTTTCTCGGTGATGAGGTCACAGTTAAAGAACAGGAAAGGGAAGATGGTTCTCCCCCGGGGGATTCTGGGGCACCGTCCCCAAAGCACCCCAGCCCTGCTCATCTCCAAGGCCGCTCTGGTCTCGGCTCCCACGGCCACGGTGACTGCCAGCCTTACACCCCTGATCAGTGTGTTCTTGTCCTCACCTTGAGGGGTGGGGGTTGCAGGGGGCATGGACCCTAACTCAGATTTGGAAATGGGCTCAGAAAGGGCAGGTGGTGACCTATCCAGGGACGTACGGTGGGAGGTCCTCCATGTCTCACCTCCTCAGGGAGGTACTGCTGACCATTCAATCTCGATGCCCTTTTCAGACCCTCAGAGCTTCTTGTGCCCAGGAAGCCAATGCCTTGCCCACCCAGACAGCTGATGTGCGCCATCCTCACTGCCCAGGAAGCCCCCCCCACAGCCCATGACCTCGCTTCCTGCTGCACACAGGCCCCAGGGGCGTAAAGCGCAGAAAACATGCTCAGAGACATGAGGGGTCAGGGCCAAGGCGGCCCAGCAAGGATTCGGAGGAACCCAGGTCGGGGCCCAGCTGTGCCTCACCGTCAGTCCCCGAGAACAAGGATCCTGCCTCAGTCACCCTGGAGCCCCAGGCCCAGCATGCCCTGGGTGAGGAAAGGCCCTGGGTCTTCCCGTGGTAGTGGCGGGGGGAGGGGGACAGCTGGCTAAGGTGGGCTGAGGGGCTAGGAGAGGCCATACCACGTGGATCAACTCCAGTGAAAGCAAAGAAAAAGGAATAAAACCGAATGTCCTTGGAAATGCCTTTAGTGCTTGGCTGTCCATGAAAACAGGATAAAGTGCTTCCTCTGTCTGTGCTCGAGCCTGGCAGGGTGGAGGCGCGGAGCTCAGGCCAGGACAGCCTCAGGCAGGACAGGGGTGGGGCGGGGCTCGGCTGGGGAAGGGCTCCGTGCTGCTACTTGAGGGCATCCAGGTGGGTGCAGACTTGGGAGAAGACACTGTCCACTGAGCCTTCGGCATTGACCTGTGGGGAGATGGCCGGGAGGGCAGAGACGATGGGAAGGGCTGGGTGGGCCCCATCGAGGCAGGGGCTCACTTCCCCCAGAGGCCTGGCCTGGCTCTCCGAGCCCAGCCACCAGGGGACAGCAGCCCATCACCGAGCCAGTGGGGAGACCAAGGCCTGGCCCAAGGTCACCGGAATTTTGGCCACCCCAGGCAAAAACCCGTTTCCTAGGGCTACCCGCGGCCTGCAGGGGGCGCACCTTGCGCACGATGCCCCGTTTCTCATAAAAGGCGATGACAGGTTCCGTGGCCTTGTAGTAGGTCTCCAACCGCTTCTTGATGGTCTCCTCATTGTCATCCACTCGCCCGCTGGTCTCTCCGCGCTTCAGGAGCCGCTGGGTCATGGTCTCCGGGCCTGCGTCCACATACAGCAGCAGTGTGGGCTGTCCGATCTGCGGGCGGGCGGAGCGGTACTCATAGGGGCCCCATTCCTGCCCCCTGGGGCCACCGCCTCCCCATCCTCCCGAGTCAGAGGCCCCACCTGAGACCCACTCAGACCTCCAAGCCCTTCCCCAAGGCAGCCTGAGGGACCTTCCAAAAACCACTCCCCTGCTCCCAACCTCTCCCATAGCTCCCCAGTGCCCTCAGAAGAGAGCCTCCTGCCCTCCTCCTCTCGTGTTTCCCACTCCTTCGCTCTCCTTGCTTTGGCCACACTGACTCTCTGTAGTCCGGGCTCTCGCCCACCTCCTCCCACGCCAGGCCTTTGCTCATGCCAGGAACCCTTACCTCAATACAAAGTGCTGGCTTTCAGATTTGAACAAAAATCTCCTTCCTCCGGGGCAGTCTTCCTGGATGCCACCCCCACCACCATCCCCAGCTCCCTGGGACACCCTCTTCAGTCCTCTCTCCTTCTTTGCCCAGAATGTCTCGGGAGGCCTCTGGTTATTTACTCAGTGTCCCTCTCCCCTGCCAGGAGTCCCTCTGAGGGCAGCAAGGCATCTCATTGGAATAAGCGTTTCATCCACCGCAAAGGGCAAGAAGGAACAAGGCTGACCTGTCTTCCTTCCGCGAGGCCCTGATGCCCCCTGGTGTCCAGATCTGAGAAGACCAGGTGCCCGGACCCTTGGAGGCCGTGGCAGGGCTGGGCCCTGTGCTGAGCAGCCCACAGCCCACAGCAGCGCCCACAACAGCCCCAGGAGGGAAGGAGGCTTTTAGTAATCTCATTTTCCAGATGTGGCCCTGAGGGTCGGAGGTGACATTACCCAGCTGGTACATGTGCGTCACGACAGGACATGCTTTGAGGCTGCCTAGCACCTGACCGCAGTGTCCATGGCCTCCTAGTCTGGAGGAAACCCAGCCCACTTCCGTTTCAAAGATAGGGAAACTGAGGCCCGCAGCAGGGTAGACACTTTCTTGAGGTCCTGCAGGCACTTAAAGGTCGGGACACGAAATCTACATCTGGATGAGGCTCAAAGCTTCGGAAGCCCAAGAAGGCCCCAGCCTCACAGGCTTGGGAAGTGGGGAGTGGGGGTCTGGTCCCACCCCACCTATTGGGATGCCTGGTCCTCCCCACGAGGCCGGGAAGGAATCCCTCTGCCAAGTAGCCCTCCTTGAGCCAGCCCCTCCCCTCGCCTCCCCCCACTTGCAGCCCTGTTTCCCTAGTATGACCTGTGACCCCAGAGGTATGGGGGTGTGTGTGTGTGTGTGTGCGTGCACGCCCATGCATGCGCATGCGTGTACATCCATGCGTATACGCGTGCTGTGTCCACACGCATGCATCGCACGAGTACGTGTATGTGCATTGCCAGATGTGTGCACACGCATGCGCTCTGTGTGTGCGCGCATATCCATGAGCTTGTGCCTGTGTTTGGGAGCGGTGCCCCCACGCTGTTTTCCTGCTGGGCTTCTGTTTCAGGCAGCTCAGAGCCATCATCCTTGAGGCCTACTTTTTCCAGTCAGACTCCCCGTGGCCCATGGAAGGAGACTGGACTCCTTGGCCTCAGCGGTCTCCAGCCAGGCCTGAACCCCCTCTCCCACAGCAGTCCTGGTTGCCCTGCCCCCTAGATTCTGTTCTCCCCACACCAGCCTGACCCTTCCAGCCCTGTCCATCCTGCGCCCTGCCCCTCTGACTACGGGCTTATAAGGTGCCAAGCCCCACTTTGGAAGGGTACATTCTCTCTAATCGCATTCTGCTCCTTAAGGCAGCTGTTGCCAACCGTGTCCCCCCATTTTGCAAATGGGGACACTGATGAGGTTCAAGGAGGCAGAATGATTGGCCTAAGGCCTGTTGAGCTAGAACCTGAGCCCAGGTTTGTGAGCTCCCCAGCCTGTGCTTCCTCTCCCTCTAGAAAGACTTCTAGAAACTCTTCCCCAGTTTCCCTCCTTACCCCTCTCCCCACTCTGACCCCACAATTAGTCTCTCTCTCTCTCTGCCCAAAACTCTGTCTGGCCATCATGGCAGCCTCTGCCTGACCCCCCACATCACAGCCCCAAAACGTACCCAGCAGGTGGCACCTTACCCTCAGCTCAAACTCCTCTCCCTGCTGTACCTCCCGAGGGTAGCCATCGATCAGGAAGCCTCTGGAAATATCTACCTTGGCCACCATGGCATCTCGGAGCATGTCCAACACTGTCTCCTGGGGGCACAGGAAAATATGGAGAGGTCATGAGCTCCTTTCCCCACCTCTTCCTCCAGGCCTCTGCCCTAATAAAGATGTTCCAAACAAGCCTCCCTCTCCAGGAAGCCTTCTTTGAATGTGAAGACTTGACTGGTTGATCGAACCCTTCATGCATCTATCCATTCATTCAATAATACTGACTCAGCCCCTCCTCCCAGCCAGCTCCCGTCCAGGGCCCCGAGGACACCACTGTGAACAAAGCAGACCTTCCTCAAGAAGCTCACAGTGTGGTGAGGTTGATTTAGCAATTTCCAAGCATGACACAGGTTGAATGGGCAAAGAAGGAGGCCTTCTGGAGTTATAAAATGAGGGGGTCTAAGCTCAAATCTGTGGAGCCAGGGAGGTCTGAAAGCTGAGGAGGAAAGAACATTCCAGGCAGGAAGGAATCTGATGAGATAGACAGGACCAAAAGGCCAGGGCAGCTGGAAGGTGGAGAGCTGGGGGGGGGTGAGTGGGTGGTGTGGGGCTGAAGGGGTCGGCAGGGGCAGGGATCCTAGAAGCTCCGGGAATTCCTAGAAAGAATTTCCTGCCCAGGGCAATGGGGACCAGAGCCAGGAGTGTTTGGAGCCAGGGAAGATCAAGGCAGCATTGCCAGGGCATCATGGGCTTTGCTGGCGGGAGCCCACTTGGGGCCGTCATCACCCCCCACCCCACCGGGCCCACTCACCAGTGGCACCAGCTGCCCCTTCTCCATGATTTCCGACAGCATCTTGCCCCTGGCCGAGCCCGAGCTGACCTCGGCCCGCAGGAGGTCCCCGGTGGAGAGGTGGGTGTAGCCGTACTTCTGGACAATCTTCTCACACTGGGTGCCCTTCCCCGAGCCGGGCCCTCCTGCAAGCGCCCACCCATTCAGAAGCCCTGTGAAACGGGGGCCACCGCAGGGCGAGGATCTGCCCACGCCACCCAGCGGAGGAGGGGCAGAGCCCAGGGTCCAGCCCCAGGCCCAGGCTCCCACCAATGCCTGCAAAGCGCCTCCCTGCTTGCTGCCTGACCCCGCCTGCCTTGGACTCACCCACCACGAAGATGATCTTGGCTTTCTTCAGCTTCTCTGTGGGACAGAAAAGGGGAGCAGAGTTCAGTGACTCGCTTGACAAAGAGCCCGAAGCACCTCTGCAGTCCAGTCCTGTGCCGGGCCTCAGGCCTCACGCTCCTGCCCCGAGTGACCAGCGACGGGCTGAGCAAAGCTCAGTGGTCAGGGAGGAGAGGGTGTTGCAGGCAAAGGCCTGGAGGCTACAGACTCGGCACAGGCTGAGGACAACTCCGAGGGGCTCAGATGCCGGCCCTCACAGCCCCTCCCCGGGGGGTGGCTGGGCAGCAGCGGGTCACCTCTGGCCTTAGAGACTTCCGCGGCGCGGCGTCTTCCCGAGCAGCAGGCCCCCATGGTCCCGTTGTCCTGCGTCCCCTACCCTTCCCCTCCCAGGCCCTGGGCCTGCCCATTGCCCGCCTTCCCTGGGCAGTACGAGTCCGGAGTTGGCAACCACAACATATGTTGCCCTGGAGACGGTTGCCAGGGAAAAGGGCTGCGGTGGGCATGGAGAGCCCTCGCCCAGAGAGGGAGGCGAACTCCTGCTCCAGCCTCTGCCTCACCGGCCCTCAGAACTCAGCAAGGCCACAGCCTGGCCGCGCAAGGGAAACTGAGGCCTAGGGAGGCAGGGGCCTGCTCCGAGGATGCCAGACCCAGAACCGGAAGCCGTGCCCTCTTCCCAGGCTGCCCGGCCTTCCCCTCACTGGGTCACCTTAGGAAAGGAGCCCCCACCCCTCTCTGGCTCTCTGTCCCTCGCCACTGAGGAAGGCTTGGCAGCTCCCAGGGGCCCCCTGGCCCTGCGGCTGGAGACCTAGAGGAACTGTCAGGAGAAGCGCTTCTCCTGTGGGCTCCCATCACTGCCTGCCAAGTGCTGGGTACCACCTGGAGGCGGGGGAGGCCACAGCCTGCAGGCAGCTGATGTTTGGGGCCCAAGGGGTGGAAGGGTGACCGCCGGCTCAGGCAGCAGCAGCAGGCTCCTTTAAGAGCCGCCCAGGCTGAGGCACAAGGCCAAGGATGGGGCGGTGATACTGGCAGGAGGCGGGCCAGCCAGGCGCTCTGCTGGCCACATGCCTCCCTCCAGGTCCCGGCCCTCAGCAGCCAGGAGCGCCCAAGAGATCCTCAAGACCCACCCCCTCTGGAGGATGGAGAAACTGAGTCCCACAGAGGGGTTGGACCTTGCCTCGTCCTTGTTAGGCTTGGCATTTGCACACTTGGGGCCTCTCCCCAGGGCTAGCCTCCCCTTGCCAGCACCCACCCTTTCTTGAAAGAAGCAGGGATTCAGCTCTATAAATACCAGTGTAGGAGGTGAGCTATGGGGCCCTCAGGAGCCTCAAGGAGGCCTCCTTGCTTCTAAAATTAATCTTGGAGCTGGCAGATCCCGTGAGATGCCTGAGGAGGTTGCTGGAGGCTCCCAGACAGGCCCCTCTGGCAGCCGGAGAACCTCCTCCAACCCTTCCCGGAATGTCTCCTAAAAGCACACCCCCTTAACAGATGGGCACACTGAGGCCCAGGCTGCAAGCAGCAAAGAAGAGCCTCGGTACCTTCCATCCTGCTGAGGTCCGGGGAGCCGAGTCAGCGTGCTGCAAGACAAGGGCACAGGTGGGGCAGGTGAGGGGGCCTTCCCGACACACCATCCCCCTCCTGTCTAGCCCCACGGTGTGTGCCAGACCCTGACGCTCCCAAGGGTACAGGGCATGGAGGGCCCCGAAGGTTGGGTGACCCTGGGAAGGTCACCTTTCCTCGGTGTACGTCCACTGTTACAAAAGGGCAGCAACTCCCTTCTGTCCACCTCTTCCCGCCGGAGGAGCCAGGTGGCGAGGACAGTCCTGAGGGACAGAAACAGTGGCGTCAGCAACTGCTGAGCTGTTCCCCTTGCCAGTCCTGGAAAACAGGCATCTGCCCAACACCTTGGAGACGCTCCCCAGGGCCGGGAGGAAAGCTCTGTGGAGGCTGGAGGTGGGAAGAGGGACTTGAGCTGCATGTGTCTTCATCCTGGATGGGGTTGGGACGAGGATGCTCAAAGGGACACAGAGGTCCGAGGGGGAGGAAGCTGCAGGAGCTGCTCAAGGGACACAGCCCTATACAGTTTTCATGGGGGGGGGGGGCCAAGCTCTCACCCCACCATATGACCCTTGCCCCCTCACCCCCTTGAGGATCTTGCTCCACCACCTGCCTTCCCCGAAGCAAGTGAGTCAACCCCACCCCCTCCGGGACCCCACTCTGCTTCAACCTCTCCTTCCACCTAGAGTTGCCACCTCCACACCCACCCACTCTCCCCAAGGCCACCAGCGACAAACACAGTCACTCTTGCCTTGACCTTTGACGCCCGACCCTCAGTCGGCTTTCCCTCTGCCTGGCATTCCCCCCAACCACAGGCCCTCAGTTGCTGACTTCAGGTTCCCAGGACCCCTGTCTCTGCCCAGCCAGCCCCGCCGTCCCTCCCCAGCCCCATAAGTCTACAATCCCTGGACAGGCCTGGGGTCCCCACAGACCCCACCACATCCCCAGTTCCATGCCCTGTTGCCCAACCAGAGGCCCCAGTCTACATGAACACCCTTCTCCCACACCCAACTTCCACCCTGCACACGCACATCCCAACTCTCTCTCCAGCCTGTGTGCTCACCACCACTTCTTTATTGCAAGCGGGGCACCTGGCCACTGCCCCAGCCTCCCGTGGGTCTCCCTACCTCCATACCCCACAGGGCAATCTGCAGGTTTCTCTCCGATAAGCATCAGACCACATCACTCACCTGCTTAAAACCCTTCCAATGAGTGGCCCCCTAGCTCCCAAGATAAAGCCCTAACATGGATGACAGGGTCCAACAGCCTCTACCCACCCTCTGCAGCCTTTTTTTTTTTTTTAAGATTTTTATTTATTTATTTGACAGAGAGAGACACAGCGAGAGAGGGAACACAAGCAGGGGGAGTGGGAGAGGGAGAAGCAGGCAGGAAGAGGGAGAAGCAGGCTTCCCACCAAGCAGGAGCCCAATGCAGGGCTCAATCCCAGGACCCTGGGATCATGACCTGAGCCGAAGGCAGACGCTTAACGACTGAGCCACCCAGGCACCCACCGCGCCCCCCCCCCCAACTCCTTGCAGCCTTAACAGCCACCGCTTGAATTGCTTGGAGCTTCCTCACCCACTATGACCGCGTCCCACCTCCAGGCCCTGGCTACCGTTGCACCTGATGCCTGGATGCCTTTCCCCAGGTGCTTCTGGCTAGGACTCAGTTTAGGTGTCACCTCCTTCAGGAAGTCTTCCTGGACTCTGTCCTCCACTCCCACACTAGCAGGTGCCTCCTTCGAACGCCCCCAGCGTCGCACACGCCACATGGTACTGGACCCCTCTGTTGTACCACTGGCCTGTGTGCCCCACGGGACTGGGCCTGGCCCCGGGCTGAGCATAGGGCTGGGGGCCTCACGCTGTGCTCACAGCTGTCTTGGAAGGGATTTGAGGCTTGAAGAGGAGGAGAGACTTGCCCCAGAGCCTGGCTGGGGTCAAACTGGGGCTGCATTTTCTGCTGCTTTAGGCCTGGCACCCAGTAGGTCTTTAGGCAGCTTTGCTGACTGTCCCGCCACTCGTGGGGCATGAGTTATAGCCCCTTTCCTGCTGAGTGTGCTCAAGGAAGGGTAGAACTGCCAAAGCCCCACAGCAGCAGGCAAGGGAGGAGGACGGTCCCCAGGCCAGAGAGAGCCTGAGGTGACACCCTGTGGAGTGGCCTCCCACCCACCTTGCCCTGCTTCCTCCCAGTAACCTAAGCCCCTCTGTCCTGCTGGCATCTGCTACTTCCTTGGTCCAAAATAACCTGGGTGGTGAGGACTCACAGACGCCAGGGGTCCAGGACGGAGTTGGGTTACCGGCTCAGCACCCAGGCCTTACAAGGACTCCAGATCCAGGCTGCAGCAACTCCTCCCGTGAGTCGGTGGTCTGCCCAGGGGCCTGGGGAACTGAGGCCCAGAGGGACAGCCACTTAAGGGCTCATCCCTCAGCTGTGTGACCTTGGGCAGCTGGTGTCCCCTCTCTGGGCCTGCACCCCCCAGGCCCTGTCCTGCTGCTGCTGGAGACTCCTGAGTGGATACCTGAGCGGTGCTCAGGAAAGGTCCCACGTGTTGGCCCCAGGGGCTCCCTTAGAGCCCCCGCCCTTTCAGGAGGCTGGGGCAGGGGGCCAAACATCCAGGGGGCTTCCTGTCCCCCCAGCACTCAAAATGGCACGGCAGGATAACTCCTCCAATCTCACAGGCGGCCCCGCCAGGTCCTCCAGAGCAGGGCGTGCGGCCACAGCCCCCTTCCCAGGGCCCCAACTGGGACGTGCCAAGGGCAGGGACCTGGAGCCCCAGCGTCAGGAGTGCCCGCCTGGACAAAGGGGCGACTGTGTAGGAGGCTAGGAGGGACTGCAGCACACAGCCCCCGACGCGGGCACACGCAGGGTGGCACAGATAGCCAGAGCAGAGCCTGGGAAGACCAGACGGGCGAATCCCCACGGATCCCACCACCCATACAAACACACAGCCGCACAAACCCCAAGGATGCCCGGACACACAGAGACCCGCGGCCCCAGGCGCACGCGGCTCCCCCACCCCCCGCAGAGGCGCCCCCCCCCCCCGCGCCCGGACACGCACGCGGGCACACACTGACCTGGGGGAGGGGTGCGGCGGGCGTCGGGGCCAGTGGTGCCCTGCCCGTCCTCGCCCGCCGCCCGCAAAGGCGACTATTTATAAGGCTGTCAGCAGCGCGCAGCATGCCGGGAGCCAGCGCTCGGCGAGGGCAGGGAGGGAGGGAAGGAGGGAGGGAGAGCGGCCCGGGAGGGAGGGGGGCCTGGACCCGGGGGGAGCCCCGGTGGGAAGCCGGAGCAAGGCCGCCGCCCCCCACCGTGCATCCCCAGGTGGCTGAGCCTGCAGGGTTTTCTCCCGTCCTGCCCGACCTGCCCTGTGCCCACATCGCTGCAGGGGAAACGGGACCGGCTTCCGTATGACAGCTGGGGAAACTGAGACCTAGAGAGAAGAGACTCTTTGCACAAAATCCCACGGCAAATTGTTGGCAGAGAGAGCACCCAGCGCGGGAGGCAGCCGATGCATGGATTCTGGGGGCTTTGCCAGGCCAGTCCCCCCACCCCTCCTCAGCTCCTGCCCAGAGGCCCCTGGGCGGAAACCCACCCAGAACTCCTCCTCTCCGGTTAGAAGGGGCCCAAGAAGGCCTCTGGGACTGAAACTCTCTCAGGACCCCAAAGACCATCCAGGTACCCATTTCTCAGCTAGGGGTTGTGTAGAAGATTATAAAAAATCAGCTCTGCCTTCATCACACTGCCAGGCAGCCCCCAAGAGGTGAGCAGGAGGAGGTGGGTCATTCAGAATGCTGAATGGGATGTGGGTACCTGGATAGGGGGCCGGCAATCCTGAAAAAAAGAACAGCTCCCATGAATGAGCACTCACTGTTCCAGGCACTGGGCAGAGTGCTGGGCTCACGCTGGGTCTGCGAATCCCTAAACCTGGAGGAAAGCGAGGGTCACACCTGTAAAATAGACGCCCCAGCATGAACCTGTGTAAAATCTCTGAACCTGAAACCTCGTTTTGGGACGAAAACTTCATCCAATTTTTGACACAGGGATTTCTGAACTATTGAACTGGACAAGGGCGTCTGACGGAACACAGAGCTGCTGCACCCCCATTCTTTTTTTTTCCCTAAAGATTTTATTTATTTGGGGCACCTGGGTGGCTCAGTTGGTTAAGCATCTGCCTTCAGCTCAGGTCATGATCCCAGGGTCCTGGAATCGAGCCCCGCATC